GATCGGTCCATCTCTAGTACCGGTACCGAAAAAAAGGTTTATTCATAACACACGTGAAAAGAGCCAGGAAAACCGAGTAAACGATAAAACGATAACAAAATAACGCTGAAAACCAATAAAAACCCTGAAAACCAGACATTTCACACCTGAGCCTCAACTCTCGCGGCCAAACGACCAAACGACTCAACCAAACGACTCACGGACCAGTACCGGTCCGAGGCCCGGGGGTTGGGGACCGCTGGTCTAACAGATACGATGAAGTAATCACTAAAGATACCTCAGAAAAATCAACCAGAAATAAAGAGTAGCACTCATAGTAAGTAGTACACATAGATACATCTGTGAGCTGGTTATGAATAATTTATCTTTAATGATTAAAATGTTATTTGTGAAGAAATTCATTAAGTAATTGCTCGTCAAGAATACAGTAATAATGGCCCCAACAGAGCTCTGACTCTTTTTATAGAGCAACATGAAGACAGTCTGTTAGTATACCAGCTGCTTTGTCCAGGAAACCTCACTTATACACAAAAGTTATTATCAGCACAATTCATTTATAAACGATTTAGTCTCACCTTTAGATCATAGAGCTGTTCGCTGAAGTCCTCCTTCTTGCTGACACTGGAGAAGGACCGAAGTGCTCCTGTGAGTCGAGGAGGAGACATTGTGTCTGTTTCCCTCCCCACACACCTGGTGTCCTGGATCTAGGTTCTTCTGGATCTATGGTTCTCCTGGAACCTGCTGACATACAAACACAACAGTAAGATGAACCTTCAGTGTTTCTACTCCACAGCAACTCCACATACAAAGCAGCCAAAGGGCTTTGGACCTATGCCTCGCGACACAACAGCCACTGATGTTGTGAAACAAACACGCCGTCCGTGTACAGTGGTCATGGTAGTCACGGTACCTGTGAAGAGGCTGACTGCGTTCGTGGGAGAGTGAATGAGACACTTGGGACGAAATGATCTGGAAAATAAAAACTTCTTGGTGAACTGACTGGCTTGGTTTATCTACAGATGCATGTTGTCTCCGGAAACTTGAAAGGTCCCGGATTACAGGAAGTCAGGTGGCTAACACAAACATCTCCAACAGAAGAATAATGCACGCGCCTTAGCTGACTTTTATAAGTTCTCGCGCGACTATTACACACAAAGCTAACGCTAAGTATGCGCGTTGCTAGCTGGCTGTCATGCTGCCTGCTACATCTCTTTAAAACTCACTTTTAACACTGTCGTCACTATTAATGCAACAGGAACTGCGACAGATGAGTCTATAAACCATTCACAACGTGAAACTTACGCTTCAACTGCTTCCTAAAGCGCCACGTACAAATCCAACAGTCAGTGTGTGAGTACGCTACCGGCAGATGTCAACACAAGGTGCATGTAAACTAGGGATTATGGGTATTGTAGTTTAGACGTCAAGCGGCTGTATAGAGGGCATGGATAAAATGACTACATTACCCGCGTAAGCAGAGAAGGTGCGCTTATAGCTTACACCAGCGAACACCGAATTCTGTTTTATGGGCGGAGTTAGTACTTTTAAACGGCACATGCGGTCTCCGCCTGAAAAGAAAAGTAAACTTTAGTATCCTCTCTGCTATATACAGTACAGGTAGACGAGACGACGAGGCTCCAGTTCATTCAGTGCAAAGGCAGCAATAAATATAAAAAGAGTAAGAAATTAATATACACTTTAAGACTAAGGTAAAAGTAAAAGGAATAAATATACACTTTAAAATTAAGGTAAAAGCATCAATAACAGTCTGAATTTACATATAAAATTTGAATGATTTAAAGTGACCTTGAAGTGGTTTAAAATAGCTAGCGTAGCAGCTTTACAAATCAAACCAGTTCAAGGTACGTGTCCATGTTTTTGGAGTCTGCAGACTTTTCCTTTCTTTTGCCATCTACGCTCAATGATTCTGATACTTTTTTTTTTTTTTTTTTTTTTTTT